TAAAGCAGAACACCCTGATTTAATTTGATCTTTGTACAATCCTGGATCTCCCATTTTCTGGTAAGGTCCTATTGATTAAATTAGACAGAAGGCTTTCCTTCTCCATCTAAAACGGAAAAAAAATCACTTTGCTCTATAAAAACAGGTCTCTGGGGATGTCAGACTTGATTCCTACTCAGCTCAAACAACATTAGGGACAAAGAGTCATCAGCACGCCGACCATCCTTCTTGCCTCCCTTCGCCAAATTACACCGGATTCACGCGGGTCCAAGCCTCAGGACCCGGTGAGCACGGCAGGCACCCCACACACGAGAACCTGACAACAGAGAGAGCCTGGCTCGGGTGCGCCGTGTCCACTCCCCGTGGCGGCCGGGAGCCAGTCCACCATCTCCTCTGGACCTCAGGTTGTGCATCTTGATACAAACCAGCTGCAGTGGAAAGCTTCAAAGCAGCGTTGAACACTAACTATCCCTGCTCTCTGCAAAGGAAATGACAAATCGTGCTGTTTATGAAAGCACTTGGCAAGGCAGCCCCTGGATGTCCTTCACCTGAAATTCCGTGCAGTTGGGGTCTGCTTATGTGTCCACGCGAGCTCACCTGAGCATAGACGCATTGCTGCACAGGAGGCTGTGAGTGGGGAGAAACACAGAGCCCCGGCTTCATCAGATTCTTAAATAGCCTTGAACCCCTACCACAACCACCCCCAAATGTTAAGAATGACTAAACTGTAAAATGACACAAAAATAGACATTAAATGGGGCCTCCCCGGTGGCGCAGCAGTTGAGCGCTGGGTTGCGAAGCTGCCCGCAGCCTCTGCAGCCGCCAGTTTGATCCCCGGCTGCTCCCCGGCCACCAGAGGAGGGTCCCACATGGCGCGCAGACCTCTCCTGCCGCCCGCTGCTCCCCTCAGCAGTGTCCTTCGGTCCTTCTGCCTGCTCTGCTCCCTGCTCTGGCTCTGGTGAATTCTCTTACCCTCCCACGCTTCTGACTGTACCCAGTGCATGTATAAACAAAACAAACAAACAAATAAACAAATAAATAAATAAAACATGCCTCTAAAAAAAAAAAAAGACATTAAATGGCGGGGGGGGGGGGGGGTATTCCAAGGATCTACAAGTAATTATTGGTATCTCAAGGTGCAGTGTTTAACAGCTAAGGACAGATTAATTTTGGTGAGATAAATAGAATTAAGCTACTAGAATTTTCCTCAGCAGTACCTCCAGCTTCCAAAGATACAACTAAAGTGCAAGCAGAAAGTGGCAGGAATTACGCAGAAAAGCAGAGGTAAAACTGATTCGGTTCTGAAATCTGCTTTTATGCAGATTTCTTCTTCCCATTATTTTCTGCTGAAATACGTATTACTAGCACACTTCCTACTTCAGCACTTACGAGAGAAGAAGATAGTCTAGAAAAACACAGGAGAGGGCAAATTTGTCTAACGGCCTTAAAAAAAAAAAAAAGCCACATCTATACTGGAATAGTAAAGCTCAATAGAACAATTATTTGGGTATTGTAGATAAAAATCCAAAAATCCTAGTGAAGAGTGAGGCCCCAGAGTCAAGCAGACTGCCGCGTTCATGTCCCAGCTGAGATTATAAATCAAAATCACTCACTAGTTACGTGCCCTGAGGAAAGTCACTGAATCACTCTGAACTCAGTTTCTTGACCTGTGAAATGTGACAGCAACATTCCTTAGGGAAGCGGCGAGGCTGGAGTGAGACGTGAGCACTGAAAACAAGCCCGGAGTTAAAACTCAGAAAAAAAATAGCCATAATTACTTCTCCTACCCAAAGCTCGAAACCAAAGGAACATACGTGACACCGATAAAGATGACCCACAGAAAATTCATTTCATCCAGTAGCTTCAAGGATTTCTTCTAAACTTAACTTTACACTGGAAGCCACTGGTTCGTAGCAAACTTGGTGTCTCTTTCTCTTTGACCCCACAAGCTCACAGGTGGAGGTCACAAGCAGAGAAGCTGCATGCCGGGTAGGAAGAGCAGAAGGGGAGAGCAGAGGTCCTAGAGCAGCCCCGGACGACAGAACCTTCTGGGATGATGGGCAAGTTAGAAGGAGACCCTGTCCAACATGGCAGCCACCGGCCATATAGGGCGCCTGAGCACGCAGGTGTGGCCAGGGCTACTGAGCAGATCAATTTTTTTCTAGTTTAAATTTAAAGCACAGTCCTGTAAGGACTGTTAAATAAGGTCTGCCAGAAATTTAAGCAAAAAGCAAGGGTATTTGTCTCCTGAATTATTTATACGTTCGAGTCAAACCTCTTTGTTTCCAGCGCAGACCCGGTAACTATGACTAGTTAAGTTATACACTAAAGAAATAACATGTCAGCTGATACATCAATACAGTGCAACTCAGTGCTAATAAAAGGATCAGAGATAAGCAGTATGTGGCCCTCTGATATTTCAGAAGGTCCCCAAGGCCAAGTTAAATTCTAGCTCACAAGAAAATGATTCAGTACACAGATCAGAACTGCAAAGGGCCTTATCAGCGCCCTGAGCATCTGGGCCTCCACTACCAAATGGGGAGCTACTCAGTCAGACTCGCAGGCCCAACACCCTCCACTTATCTTCAAAGGTTTTCGGAGGTTCAGAGTTCTGTCAGCCTCTCCTTCATTCAGAAGCACCAGCTCTCCTGGCCAGTGTGGCCTTTCCACTATAAACAGAATCCACGTACCACCCAGAGCTGAAGAAAACGCCAGACTCCTGCTTAGCTGCCCCTGTAATATGGTTTAATTATGATGACTGAACTAACAGGCTGACATCATAGACTTTTACAGGCTGACCCCATGTCATCCTGATGTATCATTTTGCACCAGTTCAGTGCTGTAAATCAATTTAAGATCTCAGGCAGGTTGAAAAGGCTGGTAATGATGCTTTCTCTGCCGTCCCTGGAGACTCTACATTATACACAACTTACATTATTTATAAAGCCTTGGTGATGCCTCCATTAGCCTTCTAAGACTACACAAATGAGATCTTTTATACACACACAACTTGGCCTTGATTATGTAGGCGGCTGCAGCTTCAAGACACTCCGTCTAATTACACACAGATTGTTCTTTTTCCAATCCAGCAAGTTATTAAATTTTATCTTTAACCCAGAATCGGTAGAAACCAGAATGCCAAACTGACATTTCATTTTTAGCTAATAAATGTATTTGGGAAAATGGGTCTTCCTTCCTCTAATGCTTTCAAGACCTTAGTAGAAAAAATTTACAGAAATCCCCAGTGTAAGAAGTGAATATTTTAATTGCCTAAAAATCGGGCATTTCTCTAAAAAGCAAAGGTCATCAGCTCTTCGAGGGTGTAAGACCAAAGGGTACTGGGAAGAGGAAAACTGTATTTGGTTACATACCTATGGTTGGAGGGGTCAAAACTAAATCAAGGACAAATCCCTCCCTTCAGAAGAAACTCGATAGGGCCTGGTTCCTCCAGAGGCCCTGACATCCCCACCTCCAGCGAACCATCTCTTCCTACCCTGGTTCCAGCTCCTAGGAACTGCAGCGCCACACAAATGGCGCAGCACCTGTACAGAAATATCAAATAACCTCAAATGGGGAGGAGGGCGGGCGAGGGGCACACGCTCCATCCGTGCAGCCCACGCAGGCCCGGCCCCTCCAGCAGAACCACCTGGTGCAGAACCGTGGCGCGCAGTGAAAACGCTGGGCGGTCATCATGGGGATCCTTCTTCCTGGAGGTGCCAGGGCAGCTCACCTACCTCCAATCAAACGCGAGGTGGGCATGACAAACGCGGCGGGCGGAGCGCAGGCTTTCCGCGGTGGCACTGCAGGTGGGCACGGTACCCGCCGCGCGCCCCTGAAGCGCGGGCCTGGGGTGACCCGGCTGCGGCCAGAGCTCACGCCGCCTCCGCGCCACCCGCTCAGGGCACCCCCGACCCCGCGGGCAGGGGCAGCGCGCGCGGGGTGCAGGGGTCACCAAGCTCACACCAGCCAGGCTTTCTGGGGGGGCCGCTGCGGAGGCGCGCCGGGATCACCGGACCCGGCGTATTTAAAAACCGTCTGCGCCTCCAAATAAACAAAAGCCGCAGCCACCGGAGGGCGGGGGTTGGGGGGGTTGGGGGGTGAGCCCCGGCCGGCGCGGGGTCCCCTCCCAGCGCGGAGCACGTCCAGGAGACGCGGCCCCGGCTCGCCCTCCCGGTGGAGCCGCCGGGAAAACAAGCCCCCGTCTGTCCCCCGCACGCCCACACCCCACCTTCCCCCGGAGCGCGCCCGGGGAGCTCTCCCAGGCCGGGCCGGGCAGGCAGCAGTTGCCGCGCGCGGGCTCGCACACCCCAGGCGGTGAGGCAATCGGATCCGGTCAAGGGAAAGGAATGAGCCGACTCGGGAGCCGCCGGCGGTGTAGGCGGAAGGGGGGGAGCTGCGCGCCGCCGCCGAGCCTCCGAGGGAAGGGGCCGGCGTTTCGGGGCGCACTTCCCGTGACCCCGACCTCCGAGAGGCTCGCGGGGGCGAGAGGGCGGCGGGCCGGGGGCGGGGGGCCGGGGCGCCGCGTGGCCCCCTCCGCGAGCCCCGCTCCGCCCGGGCCCCGGGGCGCGCGCGCGGGGAGGGCAGCGCCTGGGCACCCCCGGGGTGGCCGGGCCGGCGCGGGGCACAATGGGTCGGGCCGGGCGGCAGGAAGGGAGAGCGCGGCGCGCGGCGGGCCGAGGCGGAGGGGGGCCGGGGAGGCCCCCGCGGGCCGGGCCGGGGGCGGGGGACGCGGGTGCCCACCCCACCCCCAGCCGATCCAACAAAGACGCGGGGGACCCCGGCCGCGCCCGGCCCGGACCGCGGGGGAGCGGGCGGGAGGCGCAGGTCGCGCCTCAGAGCGGCCGGGAGGCGCCATCATGGGGGGGGTCCCCGATCCGCCCCCCGCGCGCCCGGGGCGCCTCCCGCGCGATCGCCGCAGCCCGGCGGGCCGGGGCGGCCGGGGCGCGCGGAGGGCGCGGGCGCGGCCGAGGAAAGTTGGGCGCGGGGCTGTTTCGCGTTACCGGCTTGGCGGCGCGCCGTCCGGGCGGGCGCACGGGCCGGAGAGCGGGTCCCGCCGGCCGCCTCCCCGCGCCGGGCCCGGCCCGACCCGTCGCTTCGTCCTCCGCCGCCGGCCGCTCGCGCTGGAGCCTGGATTGATCTGGTCGCGCTGGCGTCAGGGAGTCGGAGCCGCCCAGCCTCCACTCCGCGGCTGCCAATACCCGGCGCACTCGCCGCCCGCCCGCCCGCTCACACGCGCGCCCGCGCGCCGCCGCCGCGCGCCAGGGATCCTCGCCAAAGTCCCGGCCGGCGCGCGCGCGGGTGCGGCCCGCCGCCTCCCCGCCCCCCTGCGCCCCCACTCTCCCGGGGAAGCAGCCTCGCCGCGCGTCCCGACTCCCCCCCCCCCGCCTCTGTACCCCCACCGCGCCCCCCGCGCCCCCACGGCACCCCACCCCGGGAGCGGACTGGGCGCTTGTCTGCAACCGAAGTTCAGGGTTCGAGAGCGTGTGTTCTCCGAAAGGTCCATCTGAGAGTCCACCGCGCCCACCCAAGCGTGCTGGGAATGTGGATTGCATTTTTGACAGTTTATTTTTGGAGACTCGCCTGCTCGTGCGCGGTTTGCTTGGCCCCTCACTCACTCTCAAGGGTCTGCACGCCCCGGAGCCGCACGTGCCCGGCGTCGAAGCGCCCCTACACGTTTGCTTGTGCCCAGGACAAGCCCGCAGTCAGGACCTGTGCTTGGTGCCCATTCGTATGCGCTGTGGGAATAAGGGGGGTTGCTGTTCCACATTATGAGCTACGCCACAATGGACACCTGAATTGTTTTATCCAATGTGTACAGTCTTTTAGCTGACACCAGCACCACCCCGCCCCAACCCCAAATAAAAGCAAACTAGCTCTCATCTACCTGATCTGCATAAACACTGAAAATACCGTTTTGCAAGAGTTAACTTTTCTCTTGGCCAACTCTCTGGAAGCTGGCATAAAACCTTGGATAATTATGATAATGTTGAGTTCTGTTTAGAGACGAATAATTATTCTGGGGCCTAAATTTCACATGAACTAAAATAGTGGTTACCAATAACATAAAGAAATTATCCAGGCCCTGTGTATATTACTAGTGCTCCCCAATTACTCACGTATGTTCACGTGTCCACATTCCGTTTAAACTCTTATTTATTAACTGGTTCCTATTTATTCACTTATTTATTAATGTATGTATTAACTATTAAGCCATTCCTGTTTAATTATTTAGGGAAAAACAACAAATCCCATAAACTGGGTAAATTACCATCTCTAAGTTATAGATCGGAATATTTCTGCCAATTTCTTTTAAACTGGTTGAGTCCTTACTGGTCAAGTCTCGAACCGCTTGTTATTTTCCCTAAAAGCAGCAACTGACACAGTTGGTCACTCCTGGGAGCAACAGCTGGAGTGGACAGTGGTAAGTAACAGTCCCAGCATGTCCTCCTCTGCTCTAAACTTCCCTTGCTAGACAGTGGCTATCCCCATGCAGTAGAATATTATTTAGTCTTGAAAAGAAATGAAGTATGGACATGGGCTGCGTGGATGAACCTGGAAAAAAACAAGACTCAGTGAAAGCAGACAGACCTCAAAGACTGTTGTCTGATTCCATTTACAGGCAATGACCAGAATTGGCAGATCCATAGATACAGGATAAGTTGGTGGTTGCCGGTTGGGATGGTTGTGGTTGGGGTAATAGGGAGATTGGGAATTGATACCTAAAGGTTATGGGGTTTCTTTTGGGAGTGAAGGAAAAATATTCTAATATTAGTTTGTACCTGATGGTTGCACACCTCTGTGGATAGACAAAAACTGCTAAATCATACACTTTAGGCGCGCAGACCTCTCCTGCCGCCCGCTGCTCCCCTCAGCAGTGTACTTCAGTCCATCTGCCTGCTCTGCTCCCCGCTCTGTCTCTGGTGAATTCTCTCACCCTCCCGCGCTTCTGACTGTACCCAGTGCTTGTATAAATAAATAAATAAATCTTTTTAAAAAAAAAAAAAAAAATCATACACTTTACATGGCTGGACTCCCAGAGTGAATTTTATTCCAATAGAACCTTTTATTATTTTTTTAAAGACATGACAACTACATGAGGCATTCTTTTTTTTTTTTTTTAAATATTTATTTATTTATTTATTTATTTATTTATTTATACAAGCACTGGGTACAGTCAGAAGCGCGGGAGGGCGAGAGAACCCACCAGAGCCAGAGCGGGGAGCAGAGCAGGCAGAAGGACCGAAGTACACTGCTGAGGGGAGCAGCGGGCGGCAGGAGAGGTCTGCGCGCCATGTGGGACCCTCCTCCAGTGGCCGGGGAGCAGCCGGGGATCGAACAGGCGCCGCAGAGGCTGGGGGCAGCTTTGCAACCCAGAGCTCAACCACTGCGCCACCGGGGAGGCCCAACATGAGGCATTCTTGAATGACCCCCGGACACTAAGGAAAAATTATAAAATGACATTATGAAACTTACTTTTTTAGGCTGTAGGTGATCTCTCTGGGCAGAGCACAACAGTCTCAAATGATAACTTTGAATACTACACAGGCTGTGAAATGTCATTTTGTCTCTTGTGCAAGTTATTTGTTTAGTGGGTAATAAAAAATGGGTACTTTTTTTAAAAAGGACATTACTGGAACAAGTGTGAATAAGGGTTGTACATTAATTATAACAAAAAAGTAAATCCTCCCCTCTCTTCCCACTTCACTCATAATAATAGTTCTCCCAAGAAGAAATGGAGACCCATATGCTCTTTGCTCCCCGAGCATCTCTTCGCACCCTTGCTCACTTTCTCCAGTCACTCTGGGCCCTTCTGGGACTCCAGGTCACACTCCCTCCCAGGCCCTGGGCACAGCTGTCCCCTCCCTGGAAATCCTTCCCCACAGACAACCCTCTCCTTCACCTCCCGCAGGCCTTTTCAGATGCCCCTCTCAGGCTTCACCTGGCCGCTCTGGAACTTCACCCCCTTCCTACACACACACACACACACACACACACACACACACTCACTCTTTATAACTCCTTCCTTTGCTTGGCTGTGGCTGTGTCACTGACTACTTAGCCAAAAGAGAAAGATCCGGGGTCTATTCTATTCAGGGCTCACCCTTGGTGTTTTGCAGTGTTAGAGAGTTCAGAGATGCTCATCATACACCCCTTGAATGAATGAATGAATGAATGAGTGAATGACTCACTCAAAAATCAATCCATTCACAGTTGGAGATCATGGCCAAGAAAACAGATTAAAAACGCCTACTCACATCGGGGAGGACAAAGAATGAAATAAACACACAATTACTGTAAAAAAATGAACAGCGATGTATTAAAAAAAAAAACACACACACGCAAATCACAAAGAGGCCAGGCCATGGAGCGGGGGCTGAAGCAGGAGAGGAGGGGCTGGAATGGGGAGGCTGCTGCTTCTGTGGGGGCGTAGGGAGACCTCACTGACAAGAGGTCCTGAAGAAAGGGAGGGAGTATAACCTGCAATGGGCACAGGAGGGGGTTGGGGGGCAATATCCCACCTACCAAGCAGAGAGAAGTTCAAAGCTCCTGAGGCTGAGTGTGCCTCCCCCACCACAGACAGCCAGGTGGTCAAGCGCATCAAACAGGGAGCAGCTCACAGCCCCGGGAAGACAGTGCAGCTGAGCGCCTGGGCCGTGGCTAATGAGGGGTGTTCTCTTCTCTTGGCTTCTCTTATTTTGGTGAAAGAGCTATGGCCTACTTCCTGAGCGTGGTGAGGGTAGGTGAGACATTGGAGGTGGGAAGACAGAGGAGCAGACACGGAACATTACCTTCTGGAGGGCTGGAGAGCTAGGAACTGAGGGAAAGTGGTAGGAGTGCCAGGCAGTGCTATAGTGTCCACTGGAGGACAGTGGTCATGAATGTAGTCAAGCCCGGTCAGCATGGTGAGATGGAAGTCTAGCCTCAGTCAGGCTTCAGGGGAAAACTAGGGCTTTGCAGATGGGTATGATGGAGGGAAAAGCAGGCCAGAGAGTAGTGGGTGCAGGCTGGGGAGCAGTCTGGGGACTATGATACTTGAAATTGAAATCATGGTTTGGGACCAGTCTGGGGTGATGCCAAGATCCAGGGAATGTGACCAGAGTCAGTGGATAGCAGGGCTGGTGGGAGGTCCCTGAAGGAAGGCCGTTTCAGGAAACTGAAGGTAAGTTAATTATGCTATTTTAAGACCACTCATTGTTTATAATAAGGCAAGCCCTAAACATTGGCTGAAATTTTGTCCATGCCAATGTGAACCCAAAAATCTATTTTGCAGAGATTGTTCTTAACTAGATTCATTTTGGTGATCATTTCCCAAAGTATATGCGCATGGAATCATTAGGCCCTATACCTGAAAGTAATATGAAAGAAAATTAATGAAATGGTTCTACTCAATAGCAAAACAAATGCAATGCAGGGCCTGTGTATTAGCTCCCCCAGTGAATTTAAGCCAATCTGTTTCCCTGGAATGAGCCTGCCAGGCACCACTGCTGTGGTACTCCTTTAACACAGAAAGGAATATTCCAGTAGTAACTGTAGTGGGGGAGAAGGTGGAAATGATTCATTTTTGATGTTGAAGTCCCTTTATTCTCCCATGACACTCTTCCCTCCAGAGAACTTTGCACTGTTATAATTAAGAATGTATCGAGGTAAAAATCAACTATAAACCAGAGACACACTGGGGGTTGGGAGGGGCGGAGAGTGGAGGGACTAGGGTCAAAATAAGGGGGGGTGCAATTGCATGGGGAATATAACCAAATGAAAATGCATACATTATGCAAAAATGAAAAATGATGCACAAATTATAGAAAATAAAATATTTTAAAAAAAGAATGTATCTAAGCATGTAGCTCACTATCCACCAGCAAACCCTAGCCGCCTGTTAAGTAAGCTGGTGAGAGCAGTCTCTCCACAGGGGCCCAGAGTTTGCACAGACATCTTAGAGTAGACATTCAAATACTTGCTGAAGAAATAGATTTCTCATAGGAAAGCTGTGAAAATGCCAATTGGCGTTTTTCCTAAAGCAGAAGGTACCTCCTCGTCAT